TTTAGTATAGAACTTTAATTTACTATGGTTTATCAGTTTATAAGAAATATGCACTTTCTAGATTTCTAATATCGATTTGTTAACTATATATATATATATATGTAGACAATATTTGATAAATTAGTAAATCATATATTAAGAAATTTTTTGATGATTTTTTTTAAAAGCGAATGTATATTGATATTGTATTTCTCATTTGTATGTATATATGAATGCATGTGAGTAAGTAATTATAATTATAAGAAAAATAAAATTGTAGGATAAATAAAAATATTAGTATATTCTTTCTCGTCTCCTCCATAGAAATGTATATTACAATATTCTTGTAAAATTCTTACATTCGTTTTATTAATAGATCTATCAAAGATTGTAAATTACATTACGTTACGTATTTTAAATTACGTTACGTATTTTTCATTCATGTAAAAATATTTATATACATATAATTTTTTGTTATTAATTCCGTGCATTTAAAGATAATAATTTTGTTTATAACTTTTTGATTAATTTTAATACATGATGAGTTTCAGATCATCGATAAAGAATCATAAGTATTTGCTAATAGTATAAAATAAAAAAGTAAATACGAAAAATATTATTTGACTTATGTTTTTAAGAAACGAGTAAACGATTCTACAGGTGTGTCACTGGTTTGAACGTGAAACTTAAATCAAAGGAAGTAACACATCGGTGTGACCCTCTTTTTATAAAGAACCCCTTTTTGCCTGAAGAAATCGGATTTGCATCAATGTTAAATTATAAACATTATCAGAAAAAGAGTATATTGCAAATTCTGAATATTAAAAGAATTTACTTTAAAGTCAATTAAAGTCAATTTGTAGTAAAATGTTTACATCAAAATTACACATATATATTTATATATTAAAAAAAATTTATTACTCGGATCGTCTCGTATTAATTTTTATGCAAAAAAAAAAAAACGAAATGCTTCTATGGAGTTTACGTACCACTTATGGGGTTTACATATTACTTTTCTACGGGTTCCGCGATTTACGATGCAAAGTTTGTTAGTTATAAAATTGTGAAGAATTTGTTTTTATTTGTGGAGAATTTATTTTTATTTGTTAACACCGTACGATGTTCTCGTAAAGATTGTTTTCACATTGTAACGGGTTTCCTCTAATGTCAATGCTATTAGTAACTAGCACTTTGAAACATGAGGCATATATACCGCGATGTCAAGAGTAAATGGTAATCATTTTGCCTAATCGAGTCAACACTGTCAATTCTGTCAAGATAAAAAGAAGGCTGATCGATTGTCAACGAAACCGTCGAAAATCAGGTAAACCAGTTTTTCGGAGATCACATACGTATGTTATTCGGGAATGGAAGATTACCGAGAAAATACAGGAGAAATCGCTCGTAAAGGTGTATAACCGCGATTGAACTTGTGACTAATTCGATTGGACTTGAACGAGTGATCTTTGCTGACGTTATAGCAGATAGTTTCCATATGAAAAGTAGAGCACATAAAAAAAATTTAGTAAAAATCGCTGCTTCTTATACCGATGATTAAATGGATATGAAAGAGTAGGTCTTAAGTCATCACAAGCGGTTTATTTTTCTTCTTGTAATAAAAAACTACATTTGTTAAAGAAAATTTATAAAAGTTTTCCAGATGCATTACATCCTTGTTCTGAGAGAATTCACTCAGGATGAGGATGCATCCATTATCAGTTTCTAGTTTACAGGAAAAAATTTTGATCTTGTATTGTGCCTTTTATTATATTTCTTTTACATAATAATGAGGACTAATTCTAGAGTTAGACGTTTTACGTAAGAAAAACACAAACTAAACGAGTTAGAAGCTCTCTAGATTAACTCGAATTTATCTTGATCATTCTCTTATA